GGACGGGCGGGACGGTCGCCGCGCAGCCCCACGTGCGCGCCCGGCCCGGAAGCGGAAGCAAGCGGCCGGGCGGGACTTCCGGCCCGGGGCGGCCGGAGCGCCGCTCGGCCGGCCCGGCCGAGCGCCGGGTTCCTGGGCGTGCGCAGAGCGCGGGGAGAGGCGGTGCGAGGAGGCTGCGTGAGCGACCGTCCGGCTCGCCCCGGCCAGCTCCCGGTGGAGGCGTGAGCGCGCCCGGCGCGGCGGGGCGGGGCGCCTCTGGCCGCGCCGGGAGCCCCGCCCCCCGCCGGCGCCCGCGGCATGCCGGGAGTTGTAGGCTGCGCTTCCTGCCCGGCCTCGCGCGAGGGCGCGCCTTCCGCCTGGGCTTCGCGCCGGAGCCGAGGCCGCCATGGTGCAGGTGATCGTCTCCCGGTGAGTCCCCGCGGGCGGGCGGCGGGCGGGGGCACCGCGCGCGGGGGGCCGCGGCTTCGGGCGGCCGCTTCCGCGCGTAACGCGCCTGTGCTTGCAGGACGGGGCCCGGCGGCCTGGCGGAGTGGCTGCTGCTGGAGCTGCAGGGCGAGCTGGAGGCGCGGCGCGGGGCCGGCCTGGCCGGGCGGCTGCTGGGGGACCTGCACTACACGCGGGAGGTGAGCGGCGCCGGGGGCGCGGGCGCGGGCGCGGGGCGGCGCGCCCCGCCGAGCGCCGCGCCCACGGTCTCCTCCTCCTCCTAGGGGGTCCCGGTGCTCATCGTCGGGCACCACATCCTGTACGGGAAGGCGGTGCAGCTGGAGAAGCCCCTCGCCGTGCTGGCCAAGCGGGCGGGCGGCGGCGGCCCCCGGTACTGCGTGACGGCGCTCGTCAAGCGGAAGCTGCTCTTCAAGGCGCGCCCCAAGCCCATCGTCACCTGCGTGGCCAAGCGGGTGTGAGAGCCGCCGGCCGCCTCCGGGACGCCTCGCCCGCGGGCGCACGGCCCCCGGCAGGGCTGCCAGCTCCGGCACGGGCCGCCGCCCGGCGCCTTCCTTGCGCGCCCGGTCCCGACACACGAGCATCTTCCCTGCAATTCCTCCTCGCTCTGCGGGCGGCCCAAAAGGGCAAGCGAGGGTCGCGGCCGGCCTGCCGTCCCCGGGGCGGGAGGTGTCAGTCGAGCTGCGACCCCGAGAGTCCTGCGCCGCCCTGTATCCTGCCAGCCAGAAAGCCCGGTCCCGCTGCGGGCCTTTCTGGGCCCAGGCTGGCTTCATCTGCTCCCCTCTGGCTCCCTAATCCATCCTTCAGGGAGCTCAGCCCTCTGGGGTCCCAGTCGTTGCCTTCTGGCTCCTGAGCAGGGACTTGGCTTCTGCAAACGCACCAGCATTTTCTCTGGAAAAGCCTTGGGTTAGTGGGCTCCCTGGTAAACATGCAGGGAACTGAAGCATGGAGATGAGATACGGGGGGCATCGGACATCTTCTTCCTCTCTTTCTGGAGGGACCCGCCAGTGTTTAGGAGGGAAATGGGGGAGAAACAAGCCTCTGTTCCCTGCAGACCCATCACGCCCTCCTTTTCCCAGCCACAATGAAATTGCAACCAGAACCATGGTTGTTTTCAAGGTCCTTCTTTAATTGCAACAAATGTGTTATCCTTTAAAAAAAACCAAACCTTGGCATTTTTTAAAAATATGAAAATGTAGATAAAAAATAAATAAGTTTACAAATACCTTTGAGTCATCGACTAGTGTCATTACCAAAGAGTACAAAAAACTCTACAAATTTCATCTTAAATAAGAGCAACCCAAACAGATCGGTGTAGAAACGGGAGGCAGCCCAGGGGAAGGAGGGGGCGGCTGGAGGAGTGGGTCCTGGCCTCCCACACATGTGCCTGGGACCAGCACAGGCGGCGGGGCATCTCATACATTCGCTGCGAGGGAGGAAGCACCACTGCGGGACGTGGGCGGGAGTGTCACAGTGCCGGGCGGGGGGCCCCTCGCACCTGCCCAGGTGGATTGCAGAGCAAGCAGCCGGAGGCTCCCAGACCCCTGGCCAAAGCCATGCAGTCGGGAGGGGGGAGCCAAGCAGCCAACCTGCAGAACGGCCCATTCCCGCTTGCTTTCAGGGCCTGGGGGGGCACATGCCTCCCCTGCCCAGCTGCTGGAGGGCTTACCTGGGAGCCGCTCTGCCTCCCACTTGAAAGGGTCCTGGGAAACAGCAGGGGAACGGCCTCCTGGGCCTGGGGACTGGCGGGAGATGCCGCAGCCAGTCCCCCGTGTGGAGCGAGCCCCTGGCCTGGCCTGGCCTGGCCTGGCCTTGGCTGACCGAAGCTCCTGCTGCCACTCCCTTGGACAGGCCAGAGGTGGCAGGGTGAGGCCGCAGCTCCCGGCCTGAGGACCGTGAAGTGGCAGGGCTGCCCCGTCTGTGCACACAGGCCCAACGGGGCAGGCAGGGCCGGCCTTCCAGGTGTTCTGGGGGCCAAGCTGCCCTGTGGCCGCCCGTTTCACAGCATGGGCGGCTGGCTTTTCCAAACCAAGGAAAGGGGCAGCATCCCGTGCATGGAAGGTGGGATGGGGCAGACCTGGCTATGTGGACGCCACAGTGGGGTAAAGCTTGGTTTCCTGGTCCCAGAGAAAGGGGTGCCAGGGAATCGACATTGGAACCAGATCCTGAACAGTGCCAGAGCCGGAAGGAACAGCAGGCATCTGCTGATCCTAAGAAGATAGTCAAAGCACACTGCGGTTTCAGGGCAGAAGCCTGTGGAAACCTGAGACGTCCCTCGGCTTTGCCTTTGTGAAAGGAGGTGTCCAGCCTCTCTGGCCACGTGGCCAATTTTGCATTTGGAGTAAAAGCGACCCACTGCTGACACGCCCTCTTTGCTCATCTCAGAGACTAGGTTGCATACCTGAAAATAAACGTTTAAGCCAACCCATTTTGCAAAACCTACCGCAGTTAGAGGGCTGGAACCTTCTGGTTGCGGAACCCGTGAGCCCTCAGTGCGGGATCTCCAAAGAGCAGGAGCGATTTAGCTCCCTCTCTGAGCAAGGAACATGCAGCATACCCCGTCTGGCGGATGGAGAGGTATATAAACGCGCTTTGGTCTAGGAGGGGTGGTAAGCGACGCCCCTCCAGAGGCCTTTTGCTCCGCGACGTGCCCAGCGGCCCAACTGACCTGGGCTCCAGCCTGCAGTGGCACCGGGGGGAGGTGGGACGCCCCCGTAGGGCCGCCCCCGTAGGACGCCCCTGTAGGGCCCCGTAGGGCCACGGACTCCTCTTCAAGGCAAAGCTGTACGGGCGACTCTTCTGCTCGGCCACCGGACCACAGACTGGAGGTGGCCGGAAGAGCTTTGCTGTGAAAGAACACCTTGGGCTGTGGCATTGTGCGGCACGCAAAGGGGACCCTCCCCAAACCTGGTGCCCACCGGGTGGGTCGGAATGCTGGGAGTTCAGCCCAACGCGTTGGAGGGCGACAGGTTGGGGAAGGGTGTCCTGGAGGGCCACATGAGCCGGAGGATCCCACAGTTGGAGAGGAGCAGCTTCGGAGCCAATTCAGCGCCGTTGCAACTCGCATTTGCTATCAAACCAACTCACGCTAAATTCTATACGGGCCTCCAGGTGCGTGCTTCATTGGAAGCCTGTTCTTTATTTGCGGGGGGCCTGGTGTCCCCCTCTTCCAAGAAATAGTCTCGAGCCCACAAGGAGAATGCATCCCAGAAGCAAGGAAAGGACTCTGCCTGAGCACGGCTGAGAGGCTTAGGAAGTATCGCTAGCACGCTTTCAAAGTACACTTTGTGTAAAACAGGGATTTTTAGAAACTTGCATTGTTAGCCCTCCCCCCAAAATGTCGGCAAGCACTCTGTTCGAGCAGTGACACTCTGCACGCGTGGATTTCGGGGATGGCCCTTCAGGCCTCCTAGAGGCGGCTGGCTGGCCTGCCTGGAGCGAACGACGGCCCGGCTCAGCCGGCGAGATCACAGCAGCAGGCAGCCAAGGAGCGCCGGGCGCTCTCCTCTCCACTCCACGGGGTGCCCCTGCGGGAGAAGCTTCCCCGGCTTGCTGCCAGCTGCAGCTCGGAGTCCTGCAAGCCCCCGAGACATAAGCCCCAGCACCTTCTTGCCAGCAGCGAGACTGGCAGGAATCTGAAAGGCTCAGCAGGCCGGGGAACCGAGCGTGGGTTTTGTTTGGAGGGGGCAGCGTCATGCGGCAGCGCCGCTCACGGCCCCTTTCCCTCCCCGCTTCTGAGTTGCAAACACGGCGTGGCCATGTTGACATAGCACCGGGCGTGAGGGGAGAGGAAGTTGGCAGAAGCCGCCTCGGAAGGCAAGAGGCAGCAGGCGCCCCTTCATTCACAGCATTAAACTCTTTGGGCAGCACCTGGACGCTCTCCGGAGCCCCACGCTCCCTCCTGGGGCAAACGACGCAGTCTGGCCGCAGCCCCCAAGCACCACAGAAAGGGGCCGGGCAGCAGCCCCCAAACAGGAGGGGCAGGACGCACGAGTCAACGTGGCTGCGGGCAGGGAGCGCAGGTCTGCGCCGCTGTGGCCTCACGTGAGCCGCAGGCATCTGTGCCTCCCCCCCCGGCAGCCGCGGGGCTGGGCCCCGGTCGGTGCCGGCTGAGTGCAAGAGGGCGCCTTGCTCAGGGCACCGGTGCTGAAGCGGCAGTCCCGCCCTGGGCCTGAGGCTGCTCCGGCACAGCCAGCCTCTCCTGCCTCAGACCCGCTGGTGGGGCTGGAGGCTCTGCCCCCTCAGCCCACCTTCCTGCTTGGAAGGCACCCCAGTTGCCAGCAGCTCGAGCCCCGCTCGCTTGCTGAGCAAACAGAGCCCCAAGGCCCCAAAAGCTCTCGCAGGGAGAGCAGGCACCACAAGGCGGCGTCTCAGCTGGGCACCGAGGCCCTTGCGTCAGTGGGTCTCCTCAGAGGTTACTGCTCCAGCCAAGCACCCCATGGCAGGCACGACTTCCAGTGCACCCTGAAGCCGCGACGCGGAGGGCCGTTCCTGCCGTGCTGTGCGAGGCCACATCGCGTGCATAGAGGGCTCAGCACACGGCGATGGACCCGCTCCCCGGAGTCCGTGGGGTTTCCGCAGAGCAACGCTGGGACGCTGAATCCATCCCAGCAGGGAATTCCGGCATCCACCTCGGGCCGCAGCCGGAGGCCTCGCTGCCCGTTGCACCCCACTCTCTGCTGGCGTCACACCTCGGCGAAGGCCAGGCCGTACTGCTCGGGCGGCTTGCTGCAGCGCCGGGCCACGATCGCCAGGTAGAGGGTGAGCAGCGCCACCCAGTAGCAGGCGTACAGGATGGCCCCCGAGACGAGGAAGACCAGCTCCGTGTCCGTGAAGAGATCCTGGCAGTAGGCGGTGTAGGCCAGCCCGCCCAGGAGCACGGCCACCCAGATGGAGACGGGGACCAGGCCGATGAAGTTGACCACGAGGGTCTTGCGGCCCGAGGTGCCCCAGCCGGACTTGGTGATGGTGGCGATGGCGAACATCTTGGCCGGCAGCAGGCTGGACATGTAGAGCAGGGAGTAGAGCGACATGAAGATCATCTCGGCGTTGCCCCGCAGGAAGCAGGCGTAGGCGGCCTTGATGATGCCCACCAGCTGCACCGTCAGCAGGAAGAGCAGGATGTTCCACACGCGGCCGCGGTAGAAGAGCTGGATGACGGTGGCGATGAGGAAGAAGGGGAAGAAGCCCGTCACCACGGACTCGTAGGTCATCCAGAGGTGGTGCTTGTGGAACCAGAGGGCGCTGTAGAGCCACTCGCGGAAGTAGGACTTGCTCCAGCGCGTCTGCTGGTTCAGCCAGCGCAGGTAGCGGGTGGGCGTCTCCGTCAGGCACTTGGAGCGCGCCGTGTACCGGGTGCGGTAGCCCAGGCTGAGGACGCGGTTGGTGAGGTGCCGGTCGTCCCCGAAGCTGCACCTGCTACCCAGGAAGGTCTGGTGGTACCAGTCCTCCAGGAACTGCTGCAGCAGTGCGTTGCGGTACATGCCCAGCGGGCCGCTGATGCACTGCACGCAGCCGAAGTAGGACTGGCAGGCCCGCTCCACGTTGAAGGCCACCCAGTAGCGCACGCTGCTCAGGAAGGAGATCCACGAGTCGTACTTGTTCAGGATCTGGGGAAGCGCAGGCCTGCTGAGCAACGGCCCGGGGGCCTCCCTTGCCCGCCGGCCCCCCGGCGGCTCACTGGCCGCCGGCCCCGTGTCCCCACCATGGCAGAGCGGGGGGCCTCCAGGTCACACGCCCCAACGCACAGTGTGGGATCGCAAAACGCAGAGGCCGGGGGCGGGGCGGGGCGGGGTGGGGGCAGACCCCCTCGGGTGGGTGGGTACCTGCACATCTCCGCCAACCCCACCGACGCGGGGGTCTTCCTCCAGGAGGCGCAGCATCTCCACCGTGCAGGCTGGATCCAGCACTGTGTCCGAATCACACACCTGCTGGGGAAAAGACCCCGTGAGCGTCGGCTCCGCTGCTCTCGGGCGGATTCATGCGGCCGCTTCTCTTCCTGCGGGGCAGGGAGGAAACCCGCAGCGACCTCACGGAGGCGGTTCCTGCTTTCTGCAGAACACGTGGCTGAGAAGTGCCGCCAAATCCCCGAGCGAGCTCTGCAAAAGGGGGCTACCGAGCGCTGGCCCACAGTGGCCCAGAGGGGCCAGGCAGGGCTTTGGCCATCAGAGAGCCAGCCCAGGTCGGAGGTTCGGGGCCTCCCTGGCCAGGCAGCCTGCTAGCCGTGGGGAGCCCGGCCAGCGACATCACAGCACCGTCCGCCCCATGCTCCCCGGCAACAGATCCACGTCCAGGATTCGGACGAGGGACGTGCGGCCGCAGGGAAGCAGGAAGGGGGGGGCGACGGGCCGCGGCCCCCAGCACCCACCTGCACGTAATCCACGGAGTCGCCGAGGGCCCGGAAGGCCGTGTACATCACCTCCCGCTTGCCTCCCCACTTCTGCATGATGCACGAGTAGGTGTTGCGCCGGACGAGGCTCTGGACGCGGCGCATCGCGCGGCGGCGCCCGTCCTCCGTCTCCCCCTGGCCCCGGGCGTGGAAGTTGCTCTCCCAGACGTAGCAGCCGGTGCGGTCCGAGCCCAGCACCTCCTGGAAGATGTCCAGCATGTAGGCGTCGTCCGCGCCGTTGCCATCCACCACCATCACGACCTTGAGGTTGGGGAAGGAGATGCGCTGGGCGGAGCGCAAGCACTTGCGCAGGTAGTCCGGGTCCTCCTGGTAGGCGGCGATGCAGAGGGCCACGGAGCGGGGCAGCTTCAGCGGGCGGCCAGCCCGGCGCATGCGCCGGTGCTCCAGGAAGGCGAAGAGGCTCTGGATGAGCAGGTGCAGCCCCAGGATGGCGCCGTAGAGGCCGAAGGAGAGGTGGTGCCGCTCGGTGTGGATGAACTGGTAGCCGGTCACGTAGGCCGCCAGGATGCCGCCCAGCACGGCGGCGGCGAAGAGGCTGGTCCCCACGACACGCAGCGCCGTGGAGATGCTCCTCACGGGCATCTGCGGGGAGAGAGGGGCTCGGGCTCAGCCTGCCCCGCCCGCCCGCGCCTGGCCCGGCCCGGCCCGGCACGCCGGCCGCCTCCGCGCGGAGCCCCATCACGCCCGCCCGGCGGCGCGGCCCTTCCCAGCGCGCCAGTCGAGTCGGGCCAGCACCCAGCCCAGGCAGGCCCGCCAGCGGGAGGCGGCGGCAGCGCCTCCCGCGGCCCCTCCCGGCACACCTTTGTCCTCGGACCCGCTTAGAGCCCTTTACGACCCACGCCGAGCGTCCCGCGAAAAGCCGGCCGGCCGAGCGGAACCGGGCAGCCCCGCCGCCCCGCGAGGAGGACCCTGCAGCGCCGGCCCTGCGGCGCGCCCACCCGAGCGAGGATGCTGCGCGAAGGGGGCCCGGAGCGCCCCGGCACGCACCGCCGGCGCTCTGCCCCGAGGGGACCGCGCGCACGCCCAGCCGCCGCTCTCGCAGCCTCCCCAGCCGGCCGGCCGGCCCGCCCTCCCGCGCGCCCTGGCGCACCACCCTCGCAGCCCCGACCGGCCCACCGGGCGCAGCAGCCGAGGCGGGCGCCCTCCTCCGCTCGGGGCTGCAGGGCCCGGCCGCCCGCGCCTTCTCCCACCGGCGGGCGGGGCGGGCCGCCCCCATCCAGGCTGCAGCGCCGGAGCACGCCGCAACACGCGGCCGCGGCCCGGGAGGCGCCCGTCCCCGCGGAGCCTGCCGCGCACATGGCCCTGCTCCGCCACCGGCGCCGAGGAGGGGCGCCGCGCAGCGCCGTCCAGTCCAGCGGGGCGGGCAAGCGCCGGCCACCGCGCACGGGAGTCCCGCGAGGAAGAGGCGGACGGCCGGAGGGCCGCCGACGGCCACCGAAGCTCCTCTGCCCGGGGCGACGCTGCCGGGCTTGGCTCCGGGGCGTGTGCAGAGCGCTGCTGCTGCTTCCTCTCCCGAGCGGCGCCGGAGCAGCCCCGAGGCCCGTCGGCGCAAGCACCGGTGCGGCGTCCGCACCCGGTCGGAGGTCGGCGGGCGGTCAGGACAGAGCCCCCTCCCCCGCGCCCCCAGGAACGCACCCCCGGCCGCCTGGGCGAACTCACCGTGCCGACGCGGCTTCTCCCCCCGCCCCCGTCACGGCGCGGCGCTTTTAAGGCAGCGGAGAGCCGAGCCAGCCCAGCCCAGCCCAGCCCTGCCCTGCACAGCCCCAACGGGGAAAACGGGGAGGGAAGGAGCGGGGAGCCCCCACGTGCCAAAGGGGGAGGAGCGGCGGCGAGGGCACAGCGCGGCCTCCCCGGTGCCACCTTCGCTGCGCCCCGACGGAGCCCGCAGTCGTGCCGCGCTCTCCAGAGAGGAGGGGCAGCCTGCAGGTGAGGCCGGTGAAGCAGGCAGTCCCCCCCCCCGCCTCCTCCCTTCCCGGCTGGGACACGCACGCCCGAAGGGGGGGCCGGATCAGGGCCGGAGGCGCGTCACTCGGAGCACGCTGAAGGCGCCCCTCGCGAGGAGAGCGCGCATCCCCGGACGCGTCTTCGGGGGCTTCCCTTCCCTGCGCCCCAAGAGCGCAGCCGCCTTGGCCGCGGCCCGCATTGAAGCGGGGAGGGGGCGGCAGGCCAGGCCGGGGCGCCGCGCTCCGGGAGGGGCCCGCCTTGGGGCTGATCCTGCCCTCCCCGTTGGGGCCCAGCCAAGCCTTCTCCGCTTGCAGCGGCGGGGCGAGGAGCGGCACCAGCCGGAACAAGCCGCTCGCCAGCCTGCAGGCCCGGATCAGGTTCCCGCTCGCGCGCTTTCCATGCAGGCCGCGGCTGAATAAATAAATGATGGGATTTCCACGAGGCCCCGTGCGCCGCTCCCTGCGCGGGGCCGAGGCGTGGAAGGCGCGGGCGCGGAGCGATCCCTTCGGGGGCCGCGGATTCGGCCGCTGCCGGGGAGGAGAGGGCCGCTCCTGCCTGCGCGGAGACAGGCAGCCGTCCCCGCGCAGCCTGGAGGACCCCCCAAGCGACAGCGCCCGTTCCCACAGGAAACGGAAAGGGCGATCCGCAGCCGCGCCGCTTGCGAGAGCCCCGCCAGCCGCCGCCGGGCCGGGCCGCCCCGTTCGCCCGTGAATCGGCGTCGCGGTCCGCGCTGACGCTTTTGCGCGCCCAAAAGGTGCCGGGGCAGCCCGGGCGGCAGACGTCTTGCAGGAGGGACGCAGGCGAGGTGGGGACTCGCGGCAGCCGCAGGGGACACAAGCGCAGCTTCGGCAGAGTGTTCCCCCTGCACGAGGGAAGGGACGTCGCCTCTGGCGTCTCCGCTCCTGCGCCATCGACGGGCACCGAAAGCAGCGCAGCGGGGGACTGGCCGGCACCCACGGAAGTCGGGCGCCGCGGACTGCCAGCGGCCGCGAGGAGCGCCTCGATCCGGGGAGCAGCGTCACACGTGCGACCTGCGGGAGAGGCAGCGGCCCGCAGGCTGTGGCGAGTCCTCACTAGCACCGCCCCAAGGGGCCCAAAGGGTGGTGCCTCGGGCCCCCAGGACGCCCGCAGGGGAGCTCCGGGGAACCTGAAGGCTTGCTCACACGGCATGTCCGTCCGTCCGTCCCCGAAAGGCATTGCCGAGCTGTGGATGTGGGACCTTTCCCCCCAGAGCAGGGGTCCTGTTGCCGTGCCCTGGCAAAGGCTCTGTGGGGCAAGGATGTGGGGCCGGCTAGGGCCTGGGCCCGCTGTCCCAGGCCTGGGAGGGGGATGCTGCTGAGCAATTCCTGACCCAGCGCAGGGCCCACCGGGCAGGAGGGCGCCCTTCCCCAGCGCGTCTCGCCTCCGGCTGCAGCCCGTGTCTGGGAGCAGCTCCCACCTCGCCCAGTAACTTGGGGAGCAGCTGGACTGGTCAGTGAAGAGAAGCCACGGCACGTGCGCCAGCACGAGAGGAGCGTGCCGTCTGCAGCCACACCTGCCATTCAGGCAGAGAGGGGGCTGGATGAGTGTCGGACTGCGGTTCCCATCACGCCGAGCAAGGCAGGGCCAAGAGGCGAGGGAGCTGCAGCCCCACCCGGCAAGAGGGCACTCGCTGGGGAAGGCTTTCCGTGGCACCGAGTTGGAGATCGCGAGATGCAGGTTCGGCAGCGGCAGCATGGCCCCAAGGCCAGCTGCTGGGGGGCGAGGCTCCCGCCGCCTGTCTTGCTGCAGCGTTGGCTGCTGGGAGCCCGAGCGTGGAGGGGGTGCAGCGTGGAGGGGGGCCTTGCCCCCATCTACGTTCTATGATGCAGTGCGGGAAGGGCTGCCTTCTCCCATATATACTTATTCAGACCCCGAGGCCGTCTTCAGAGTCCCTTCTGCGGGCCCGAGCCCAAGGGAGTGAGCCGGGTGGCCGCAGAAAGGTGCCTTCTCTGTCGAGGAGGGAGCGGAGAGATTCTCCGAGTGCCTGGCTGCACTTTTTTTGCCAGACGAAAACCTAATTTCCCCAGGTAGGGCAGTAATTGGGTTTGTGTTATTTTAAATCTGTTACTGCATTTCAAATCTGAGCCGTGCTGCCAGGTTTTACTTTTGGTTTCATTTCTGGTTTACACTGCTGTTTTAAACGTTTATATTGTATTCTATCACACTGGATTTTACTTGTCCTGAGCCCTGTCCCCCAAGAACTTTGGCTATTGAGTGGCACAGAGAAAAGCAATAAATACAAGAAGAGCCATGTTGCTCTTTCAGCCGGCTTGGAAGGGCTTGTCCGTGTGTCCACGCTGGATTTGAAACAGCAAACTTGGCCCTCGGTTGCGAGCACACTGTGGGCAAAGAGCAGCGACTTTGGGGGCAGGCAGCAAGAAGGGGAAAATCACAGGCTCCGGCTCGGTGTAAAGGCAGCATCCACCCCACAAGGGAGGCAGGCGAGAATGCAGCCCGGAGCACAGACGCCTGGCACTGCTCAGCACGCCCCCCACTCCCGCCCCTCGCCTTCCCAGGCGCGCGAAATCGCAGGCGAGGAGAATTTCCATGTGTGAAGTTAAATTTAGCAGAACAGTCTGGTGGCTGCAGAAGTTTCCCAGGATATTACGCTGATAAAATCTCCAGTCAAATCTCAGAGCAAGGATATTGTAGATAAGGCGAACGCTGGCACCCACAATTCGGCAAAACCTCTGTCAGGCGGTGGGATTTCCCCAGTGGAGCAACAAGGCTCCCCCCCCCCGAGATCTGGGCTCCTTGCCTGGCCTGGCGCAGGACTAAGTTGTTCCTGGGGGGCGTTCCAGGCGGGGAGGGGGTGTAAGCGCCCCGCCTGCTGCTTAACAACCCGTCGAACTGCGGGGGCTCAGGTCGTCCCGCTGGGCTGATCTTCATGACTTAGTTCAGGCTTCTAAGTGGTGACTCCTGGGCTCGCGAAAGCAGCTTTTGTAAACTTTTGTGTTCTTCCCATGCCAGGCATGAGTTTTAACAAAAATGTAAAGAAAACCTACCGGGAATGGCAAAGAGGATGCTTGGATTGCTAGGCGGCCTGGCCCCCTCCCCTTCTCCACTCACTCCTAAGGTTGGTTTATGCGGTTCCTTGATTGCAGCTTAAGACCATCAAGCGCAAACATAACAAAAGGCCCTCCTGTCAGCTCAAAGAAAGCCCCCCCCCCCAGCCACTCTCCCAACATGCACCACAGAATCTCTGCACTGCCGGCGGGTCCCAAGCCCAGAAAGTCAACGGGTCTCAAGGCTTCCTGCGTACTGGTGGCTCAGGTCAGTGAGCCATGCCACACGCTTTGTGGGAAAAGGCATCCCTCGGCCTTCCTCCTCTCCAACCCCAGTGCCCTTGTCCTGCCCTGTGTGTCTCAGAGACGTACTTCTGTGGGGCCCCCCAAGACCCTATCAGGGAAAGGGCTCTGCGACCCCACTTCCCCGCCTACATGAGGGCAGTGGAGGCCTCAGGCCAGGTGGCAGAGTCCCAGGAGCCCGACTCCCAGGGGCTGCAGCCCATGAGCCCCAGCTGCCGTGGGCCTCGTGTCCTGCTTGTGGGGCAGCTGGCTGGTTGCTCAGCCACCGTGCGAAGCTTGTGCTGCCCTAGAGGGCTCCTTGGGGCTGGTCCCACATGGCTCTTCCGGCGCTCCCATAGGCCAGTCGGGCTCCAGCCCAGCCCGTTTCTCGCCTCTGCAAAGGCGATCAGGGAATTCTGTGGCTCAAAAGCCGCCGTCTCCTCCCGCCAAAGCCCCGGGCCCCAGGGTGCTGGGTCTGGGGTAGCCCCTGGGGCGGGAAAGAGCACTTCCACCTCCTGGGGCAAAGCAGTCTGGGTGGCTTGCAAGTGAGGGAGAGCAGAGGAGAGGCCAGCGTCTTGCTCAGCCGGCAGCCACCACTGCACTGCAGGCTGAGCCAGGGCAAGGCAGCCGACCCTCCTCAGCACCCCAAGGAAGCCTGCAGGTCGTGGCTTCAGCAGAGCCCCTCCAAAGAGGCCTCTGGTCCCGGCCTCCCAGGAAGGCTGGCCCTGCAGGTCTTCGCCCCTTCCTGGCTGGACCGGGCACCTGCTTCCCCCAACCCTGCGGATCCCAGGCAGCGAAACCGAGAGGCTGCCTCTGGAGCAGGAAGCACCCGCAAACTTTTCCTTCGCTTCCCTGTCACCGCAGGGCAGCAAAGGGGTCCTGCGACCCCCAGGCCCCAAAGCAACATCCCTGACGCAGCGCTCTGGGCCGGGAGCCCAGCTGCCGTTCGCAAGTCATTTCTATTGTGCTTTTACAGACAGACAAATGGAAGGTGCTTCCGAATGAAGCGCAACCTTGCAATCCCCCCGCTTCCCGGTAAGGAAAGGAGCTGGAGGGGCAGCAGGTAGCCCCGGGCCAGCAAGCTACGCAAAGCGCCCATCACGAAGCTGGACTCCCGGCCCAGCTGCCTTTCCTCCCTGGCTGCTGCCACCCAGCGGGCGGGCGGGCGGGCAGGGCACCCGAAGCCGGCACCTGTGCCGGGCAGGATACCTGCGCGGGCAGGATCCTGCACTCTGCAGGCAGCCGGGCTGACCTCACTTCCACCGCGCCTCCCGGGAACGAGCGCCTCCTGCGGCAGCGTCCCGGGTCGGAGGAAGCGGTGGGCTGGCAGTGCCTGCTGCCCAGGAGCTGGGCTCTTGACATGCCGGCCCGGTGGAGCGGGGCTGCCTTGGGGCCCTCGAGGGACACCGGGCGCTGAGCCAGCCCTGCAGCTGGGACTTGGAGGGGGTCCACGGTGGCAAGGCAGCCCACCGAGCCGCGGTGTGGCTCGAGTCCAGAGGACGGCGGGGTGGGACTCGGCAAGCGGCGGATGCGGCAGAAAGGGCCGGGAGCCTCTCCCGGCAGGTCTCTCTCGGTGGGACCGGCACAGGCGGCAGCTGCGGCAGGAGCACGCTCGCTCGGGCCGCCCACAGGTGCCTGCCTGGCTGCAGCTGGCTCGGCTCGGGGCTCGGGCGCCCTCCTGCCGGGCCCCTTTCAGCAGGTGCCGTTCCATTGTGAGACCGCCAGTGCTGCGGCGTCTTACCTTCTGGGGCGAGCAGAGCTCCCGGGCAGAGCGAGTCGCCGAGCGTGCCGAGCCTCTCCGGGAAAAAGGACAGGGAAAGAGCAGAGGCAGCCCAGATGCCCTTCCAAGGTGGAGCGCGGATTCCCGCCCCCTCCAGCACAGGAATCGCCTTGTTTGCAGAGGCGGAACCGCGGCCAGCCCGAGGAGAGACTTTTCATTCACTAACCCTTGGCTGGAGCGAGCGGGCGGAGGAGGTGCCGGTGGGGCCCCCGCAGAGGCACCGCGGGGCAGGAGGGCCCCGGAAGGCGAGGGGGCGCCGTGCCCCGGCCGAGCGGCCCCCGCCGGGGGATCCAGGCCGGCCGGGGGCCGCGGAGGGCATGGCTACCGCCCACCCGGGAGGGGAGCCTGCGGCAGCCGGCACTCCGGCAAGGACAATGACAGGCTCCGCCGCCGCGTCTCTGCTCCCTCCCCACCCCACCCCCTCCTCCGATGCAGCCCGTGCAGCTATTCCTGGAGTCTGCGAAAGCCACCTCTCGAAACACCCCGGCTGCAGAAATAGCCGTGCGGGACGGCTGCTCCCCGGGAAGGCACTTGCCCTGCTCCATCCAGGCGCTCGAGGGGAGCGGCGCCCCCCCCCCCGTCCTGTGAGCGGCCGAGAGCGCAGGTCAAAGCGGAGAATCCCCACCGGTCCACGGCCGGGCCAGGGGCTCCTCCTCCCGCAGCGTGCCAGGTCCTCGTGCCGACGGAAGGCAGGCCCCTCGGCGGCCTCTCCGGTGCGTCCTGCTCCCCCAACCCAGCACTGGGGCAGCGGGCCTTCTGAATGCGCCCCAGCTCGCCTGCTGGATGTGGGCATGCTCCGTGCCCAGGCTGGCTGAGGTCAGCTGGGGACAGGCGGATGCTCCAGTGGGAGCACGTGGCTCCGGCGTGGGCCCTCCGCTGCTGGAACTCGGTGATGGCTCCCGGGAGCCGGGGGAGGCCAGCGGGCACGCCGTGGGCACTGCTGGTGGGGTCTGGAGGGAGCCCCCCTGGATGTGGCCTCTGCTCCATCCGCCAACCCCAGAGGGAGGGACGCTCCACACCAGTTGCTCTCCCTGGAGACCCAACGCACATTCCAGCACCCCCCCTGCGGAGACAGGCGAGGAGGAACCGCAAGCAGAGGTGTGCCCTGGACTGCCCGAGGCGGGGGGAGCTCCCGTCCCTCTTCCCCCGGCCCCCCGGCAGGCTGGGAATTTAAAAAGCCGCAGGCCACGCCCTTTGGCGGGCCTGCCAGGGGGGCGGCTCACCAGCCACAGGCCCTTCGGCCACCCGTTCGTCTCAGACTGCAATGGCTTTGGGGCAGAGCCCTCCCTTTTACCCGTGCGCTTGTGCACAGCAGGCCTCGAGCGGTGCCCACGCCCTGCCAGGCGGGGAGGCACAGGCAAGGGACAGGGCGCTGTGCCGCCACAGCGACATTTCCACCCGGGGACACTCCGCACTGCCCGCGTGAGCCCCGCAACAGGCTGGCGCTAGAGGGCCCCCTCTCCTCGCTCTTCTCGGGTTCGGGTGTCGGGGACCCACAATGGGTGAGGGGGACCATCCTGGCAGCCCATCCCACGCTCCTCCGCCCCGAGCAGAACCACTGGGCGCTGCCCTCCGGCAAGCTGCTGCGGCTGCCCTTCCCAGCGGCCTGGGGCTGGTCCCACCCCTCTGCCCCTGAACGCACCCCCTCCTGAGGAGCACGGGCCCAGGGGGAGCCCCCGAAAGAGCCGCAACGGTGGCCACATGTGCCGCTTCCCAGCCATCATACAAGCCGCGATCCGACTCCACTCGGCCAAGATGGACAGCGGCAGGCCCAACTTCCCGAGTCACAGGGGAGGAGAAAGGGGCGTCCACGGGCCGTCCTGTGGCGCTGGGACACTCCGCAGTGGACGGGCGCAGGGCTAACGCGCCACGCCGGCCCTGGCACTCGGGCGCTGCCCCGAGCCGGGCCCTGCCTCCACCGACCCCCGTGGCGTCACGGCAGTGCTCAAAGCGGTGCTCAAAGCAGGCGCACACGTGCGGCTCCTCCACTCCGTTTAATTCTCTGCAGCTCCGCATCAGTCCCGAGGCCCTCCACTCCGGGGCCCAAGCCCCATGGCAAGGGGCCGTCTGCACAGGCAGCCCCCGGGGGCAGAGATCCAGGTGGGGGAGGTTTGCAACCGACGCCCCCAGTGCCCACCTCCCCTGTCAGCCCCCCCGCCTCCCCGCCCCCCCCCCCCAAGAGGTGCACAGCGCTGCTCGGCCGGCCCTACGGCAAGACTTGGATCTTCTTCTCGAGCGACTGGCGGGGAAACAGAAAGCGCCGTGTGACGTCGTCCAGCTCCTGCAAGGCCAGCTGCGCGTGGAGCACGGCCACCTCGTCCCGCTCGCAGCGCACCACCCACTTCAGCAGGCGGTAGAGCTCTAGCAGGACGTCCCGGAGCACCTGGCGGCGAAGGGGCGAAGCGTGTCAGCAGCAGCCGCGGGACGGGAATATCCCAGATCAAGGGGCACGGATGCCGCTCCCTCCCACACAAGCGACCCCTCAGCAGACACCTGACCGGGCCACTGTGCGCGGGTTGCGCCCTGAGACCCAGGGGGGTCCCTCCGGCCTTGGCGCCACTTCCCTCAAAGCGCCTGGGCCCCTCGCATCTCAGCTGGAGAGGGGGCTCCGTGGAAACCGGGCGTCTCCGGGCCGTCCCAGGCGTTGGTGCTCGTCTCCAAAGGGCACCGGCCCGTTCTAGAAGGCCGCACCTTGCCTGAACCTCCCGTGGCGACCACGCGGGGAAACGATCCGCAGCAGCTCGCCGGGTGAGTCGGCCGCTGCGGTGAGCTGGGCCTTCCCAGTGGAACAGCAACTGGCAGGCTGAGCCCTGGCCCAAAAGCACGGCCCCCGCGAGAGAGCCAGATCCAATCTGCCCCGGCACGCGGGCACTCACTCCGTGTCCCAGCCGTTCCCGCTCCGAGCAGAACGGCTTGCTCAAGAGGTTCCCAGTCGCGGCAACCAGAATCGGGAGCCGTTGCTGTGCTCGCAGCAACCCACGGGTGGATCCCTCGCCTCCGAGGAAGAGCTCCGGCTGGCGCTCACGGGCCTGCTCCCCACACCAGCGCCAGCCTCTCCCTTTGCTCCGCGGCCCTCCCTGGAGCTGCCCACAGGGCCGGGCTCGGCTCGGGGCAGGGCGGTGCAGCGGCTTGAACCCGAGCGTGAGTCACCAGCTGCAGCCATGAGGCCCGAGCCCGGCCACGGGCGGCTCCCCTGCACGGAACCGCGGCGGGGCACTCACCTCCACGGCCCGCTCGCTGAGCCCCCGCAGGAGCAGCACGACCACGTGCACCGCCGCCCTCCGCACTTCAGCCTCGCGGTCCGTCTTCACCACGGCAGACAGGCACGAGGTCACCTGCCAGGGACGGAGGGGGGGCTCGGGTTAACGCAGGCCCTGCGGCAGGGGCCTCCAGGGGGCACGCTCGGAAAGGCCGCACAGCCGAGCTAGGCGTGAGGCCAAAGCCACACGCGTCTCGCGGAGACCTGTGCCGGGACACGCCGGAGAAGCGGGGGACACGTGCCGGAAAATGGCGATGCGCTCCGCAAGCCCACGTGTGCAGGGCTGGGCACACGCTCGGCTTGCACGGCCCCCCCCGGCCAGGTGCAAATGAGAGGCTTGGCTGGGCAGGTGCCAGCTGAGGGTGATGGAACCGGGTCCCTGGAGGTTGTGACTGGTACCACAACCGAGCCCCAAGTCCCCCAGGCGCACCCCCGTCCCTGGTTCCTCCCTGCCCTCCCCAAGCCTTCTCTCCAGCAACCCAATTTCGTGGGAGTGGGAAGCCTTCCGATTCCGCCCTTGTCAGGCAAACCTCCCCGAGACCTAGCAGCCGCTCCCGATCCGCTTCCCACCAGCCCAGGACGAGGGAGCACTGCCACGCGGAAAAGGGCCCTCCCTGCGTTCCAGCTGCCTCCGCGCCAGGGAAGCGGCCCCTGATCCCTGCGGACGGGCCGGCCACCGCCCATGTGTGAAGCTGGAGTTCCCCCCCTCCGGCAGCCCTTCGACGCGTGTTTACAGGTGGGGATCCCGATCTTTGCTGCCGATGGTAAATAAAGCACCAGAAGAACAGCTGTCACTCCAGATGAATTTCCGCCAAGCACATGGCAGCCGTCTGCGGCGTGTGCCCTGGCAGACCTCGGCTCCGAGTGGAGCTTCTGCGAGCTCTTGGCCCGGCCGATCGCGCCACTTCTGTGCCCCAGAGGATCACTGGGTGGAAGTGCGTGGAACTGATCCAGTGGACCCAGCGGGCAAGCACATCTCCATGCAGGCAGGTCTCGGCATGTGGGTGGGCCTGCTGCACATCGGTTCGGGCCGTTTCTCTCTTATTGCAGCGCTTTTAATTTAACTGCTGGTATGTCGGGTTTTGATTAAGATTTCCTCCTGAATCTGGATTTTATTGTTAGCCGCCTTGAACGCGTCTTGCGATGGGAAGGCAGGCAATAAACCGGCACACCAAAGGCACCCACTGGGGCCTGCTGGAAAACCGGCGGGCGGACGGCTGGCCATGAAGGGCCCGTCCGGCCTCCTCCGTGGTAACAAAAGCAGCACGGGGAGGGAGGAGCTCCACAGCCCCCCCCCCCCCTTTATGAAAGGCAGCCCAGGAGAAAAGGGAAGGAGCTGGGGGACCTGCCCTGGGGCCTGAAACCCTCTCCCCCCCCTTTCACACACACACTCTCTCTCACACACACACACACACACACACACACACACAGCCCTGCCCCTTTGTGGCTCTGGTGAACCTTGCCCGCACCTCCACTCCAGCTGCACCAGTCCAGTGGAAACCGCCTCATTAGCAGGGAAGCAGAGACAAAGGAGGGGAGGCGGCCGCCTCAGGAGGAGCTGCAGGACCTGACCTGGCACGGGGCTTAACCTCGCCTGGCAGAGGAGAGGAGGGGAGGGCAGGGGAGACTGCAAAGACGCTCAGGCTCCGGGGGAGACGGAAGCCCCCGCCCAGCGTTCAGCATGTGGCAGCTACGCCCTCCCCTACGTGCACGAGGCCGGGAAGGTGCCCTGCCCCGGCAGGAGTGGGGCCGCCGAGTCTCCGGCCGGGGGTGAGCCTGGCCTTCCGGGGGCCCCCCCTCGACTCCCTCGGTTCGGCACAGGAGCCTCCCCGTTCCAAAAGGCTGAAACGGCTCTCCTCTCCGGAGACTTTGTCCCTGGCAGGAAGGGGTAGCGGCTCAACACGCGGGCCTGTCCCGGCCCTCACGCCCGGTGCCCCAAGGGCTTCCCCGAAACGGCACTTGGCCAAGGCCGCTACCTCGTGGACCACCGAGCCCAGCTGGAAGCCGAGAGTCTGGCACAGCTCGCCCAGGTTGGAGAGGCTGCTGGCCCGGAGGGTGCTGTCGGGGTCCCTGGCACCTCGCAGGAAGGCATGGATCAGGCCGTCTCGGTGCGGGAAGACGAGGTCCCCTGCAAGGCAGTGGGAGAGAGGGAGCCTTGCGGGGGGCGCTCCGAACAAGCTGCCAGGAGCCCAGCGGGGATGGGCGGCCCACCACCCTTCTCTGCTCGGTCGCACCCCCAGCCCGCGCTTTCACGCCGGTTCAGCCAGGGCGCGGCAGGACCCCGGGCTGCCCGCCACCAGCGAAGGCCCTCCCCCCCCCTTGCCACTCTTCTCAAGCCCAGCCCGCCCGGTCCCCCTTCTAGGGCACAACCCGTGTGCCGGCGAAGGCATCGGCAGCATCCGTCCAGGCCCTGCGCTCGGCCTGGCAGGCGCCGGTCCTGCCTGCCTTGACTAGCACGGGGCGGATCCGCAGCTGCGGGAGCCCGGCAGCTCGGCTCCCGCTGCTCCACGGCCCCGGAGGGAAGCGGCTACCGGGCCTCTGCGCAGCGAAGGCTGCCTGCCGGGGAGCCGTGAAACGGAGCAGGGGCACCTCCGCGACCGCCCTGCACGGGAGGGCTGGAGCCCGGCCGTCCGGCTCCCGGCGCTTGCAGGCCAGGGCCCCCGAGCCGGCCCATGCCTGGCCCGGCCGGCCACACGAGCTGCCCAGGAGCACCCTGGGGGGGCTGCGGGACGGGGGCGGACTGCCGTCCTCTGGGAACGCGCGTCCCCAGACCACAAAGGGCCAAGCACAGGGAAGCTGTCCCACAGGCTGGTTCCGGGGACCAGGTCACCTGGCGGCAGCGAACCCCTGGCGGCCCTCTGTCCTCCATCGATCGTCCTCCGTCAGCCGCCCCCCCTTCTCCGTCCCACCCTCCTTCCATGCCTGCTATCAGCCTCCCTGATCTCTAAGCCAAAGGGGAGGATGTGGCAACCTTTCCTTAGGAAGGTGTGAAATTGCCCCCAGGGGAAAAGAGCAGCCGTCTGAAGTGACAGTTGGGGGGGGGCTTTGGCTGGGAGGCAGCAGGGGGGCACCCCAAAAGGATGAGAGCAACCAGGAGGCCATAAACACCTCTGGCAGGATGCGCCCAGGAGCTTCCTGCCACAGGATGGCCCTTTCATCCCCGCTGCTCCTTCGCAGCCTTTTTGATTCCTTTTTGATTTGCACCACAAGAGGAATTCCAAAGCACAGCCCTCCCTGCCTCCCCTCTCCCCTCCCTTCACCTGCATGTCAATGGCATAAAAGGAAGCGCATTTGCATCTGCCCCAGTCCTAAAAGCGAGGGCTTCCTCTGCCGGAAGGAGCTGGGCAGTGGAGTGGGGGAGCAGGAAGACCACCCCGTAGCGCCCCCGCCCCAGGCGACTGCGCCATCACTCCCACACAGTTCAGGCTTTCAGGCGAGGGGGTGTGCGGGCCAGGAAACCCTCCCGAGCCCCCGGAGGCTTGTCAGCGGGCGAGCAGATGTGCCTGCTGGCACGAGCAGCTCGTTCTGCTTCCGTCAGCCAGACCACAGCAGCCCACGGAGAGCTCTGGCCCCCGACTGCCAGAGCCGGCCCGCCTGGGCTGCGCAGGCCCAGGCGGCAGCCGCAGGGACGGGCTCCTCCTGGCCGAACAAGATTAGCTTGCACCCCACGTAAAGCGCCCCCCCCCGCCAGAGAGGCGAGCGGTGCCTGCAGTGCACCAACCGGGCTGCCGGGCGCATCGTCCTCCGGCTGACCAGGTCCAATGAGCAGGGGTGGGCCAGGCGCCGAGGAACCAAGTGCCCCCCCCCGCAGAGGAGCACGGCGTGGGGGATCCCCGGGCGGGGAGAGGCCCCGTGACACGGGAGGAAGGCCGAGCGTGCTGGGACGCGACCGACAGGGCCGCTCCTTCAGCCGCATGGCACATGCAGCCCCCCACCCCCCCGCGGAGCCTCCCCTCCCCGCCCCTCCCCACACGGGCGCTGCGCACACGCACAAGTACACGCTGCACGCCGCCCTCCCAGCCCGCAGCCGCTCCTGCCAGCCGGCAGATCCCAACTTGACTTTGGTTCCTGCTGCCCGGAGAAGAAAAGCGGCTTTCCGACGCAAAAGCCCTCCAAGTGCTGCGAAGAGCCGCTCCCTCGCCACGGGGGGGGGGAG